GAGACCCTGTGAGAGTGCGGCGGCGGGAGACCCTGTGAGAGTGAGGAGGCGGAGGCCCTGTGAGAGTGAGGCGGCGGGAGGCCTCGTGAGTGAGGCGGCGGGAGACCCTGTGAGAGTGAGGCGGCGGGAGACCCTGTGAGAGTGAGGCGGCGGGAGACCCTGTGAGAGTGAGGCGGCGGGAGACCCTGTGAGAGTGAGGCGGCGGGAGACCCTGTGAGAGTGAGGCGGCGGGAGGCCTCGTGAGTGAGGCGGGAGACCCTATGAGAGTGAGGCGGCGGGAGACCCTGTGAGAGTGAGGCGGCGGGAGACCCTGTGAGAGTGAGGCGGCGGGAGACCCTGTGAGAGTGAGGCGGCGGGAGACCCTGTGAGAGTGAGGCGGCGGGAGACCCTGTGAGAGTGAGGCGGCGGGAGGCCCTGTGAGAGTGAGGCGGCGGGAGGCCTCGTGAGTGAGGCGGCGGGAGACCCTATGAGAGTGAGGCGGCGGGAGACCCTGTGGAGTGAGGCGGCGGGAGGCCCTGTGAAGAGTGAGGCGCGGGGAGGCCTCGTGAGTGAGGCGGCGGGAGACCCTATGAGAGTGAGGCGGCGGGAGACCCTGTGAGAGTGAGGCGGCGGGAGACCCTGTGAGATTGAGGCTGCGGGAGGCCCTGTGAGAGTGAGGCAGCGGGAGGCCCTGTGAGAGTGAGGCGGCGGGAGGCCTCGTGAGTGAGGCGGCGGGAGACCCTGTGAGAGTGAGGCGGCGGGAGACCCTGTGAGGGTGAGCGGCGGAGACCCTGTGAGAGTGAGGCGGCGGGAGACCCTGTGAGTGAGGCGGCGGGAGACCCTGTGAGAGTGAGGCGGCGGGAGACCCTGTGAGAGTGAGGCGGCGGGAGGACCCTGTGAGAGTGAGGCGGCGGGAGACCCTGTGAGAGTGAGGCGGCGGGAGACCCTGTGAGAGTGAGGCGGCGGGAGACCCTGTGAGAGTGCGGCGGCGGGAGACCCTGTGAGAGTGAGGCGGCGGGAGGCCCTGTGAGAGTGAGGCGGCGGGAGGCCTCGTGAGTGAGGCGGCGGGAGACCCTGTGAGAGTGAGGGCGGCGGGAGACCCTGTGAGAGTGAGGCGGCGGGAGACCCTGTGAGAGTGAGGCGGCGGGAGACCCTGTGAGAGTGAGGCGGCGTGAGACCCTGTGAGAGTGAGGCGGCGGGAGACCCTGTGAGAGTGCGGCGGCGGGAGACCCTGTGAGAGTGAGGCGGCGGGAAGGCCCTGTGAGAGTGAGGCGGCGGGAGACCCTGTGAGAGTGAGGCGGCGGGAGACCCTGTGAGAGTGAGGCGGCGGGAGACCTGTGAGAGTGAGGCGGCGGGAGACCCTGTGAGAGTGAGGCGGCGGGAGACCCTGTGAGAGTGAGGCGGCGGGAGACCCTGTGAGAGTGAGGCGGCGGGAGACCCTGTGAGAGTGAGGCGGCGGGAGACCCTGTGAGAGTGAGGCGGCGGGAGACCCCATAGGATTGAGGGGTCGCCCTGTGAGGCCGTGCGCACTCGACTGACCTCGGTGAGCCGTCCAGCAGCACCAGCGCGCGCGGCGCCGGCCGGCCACTCCTCTCCAGCTGTGCGGCCATCTCGTACACTACGGCCGCGCCAAACGAGTAGCCGGCCAGCACGAGCGGCGCGCCGGCCGCATGGGCCTCCACCACCTGGCGGCGGACGGCCGCATTGTCAGCGGTGAGCAGGACACAAAGGCGGCGGCTGCTCGTAGCGTGGCGTGAGCTCCAGCTCCGGTGAGGCGCTCAGCAGCGCAGAGCCACCTTACGAGTCGCGAGGCCGTGCCCAGTGGACCAGAACGGCCATGGTGGTGTCAGGTCAACTCCCGTTGTCTGGAGGGGAGCACCGCACAACCGGCAGGCACAGTCTATCCCCACACGCACCGCCTGAATCGCGGGGAGACAAACGGAATAGACGGATCCAGACAGAGAAAAGGGGACAGACGGGGAAGGGCGAGCCAGGCGGAGACAGACGGAGGACACGAACAGGCGGAAAAGGACGGAGCAGTCAGAAACTGACAGAACAAGATGGGCTCTGGCGCATCTCCCGTCAGCGGCACACGCAGCGCGCACCAGCAGCAGGGCCCGGTGCGCCGGCCGGCCAGCGGCGCGGCGTCTCACCTGCAGATAATGGGTGGCCAGGGCGGCAATGTCGGTGCACGGCGCGTCGTTCGTGCACTGCAGGCCGAACACAGGTCCGCCCACCTGAGCCGCCATCTCCTGCCGGCGGAGCGGACGGCGCTCAGGCACACCCCGCCACCGGCGCAACGGACGGAGCTCAAGAACACTCCGCCACCGGTGCAGCAGGCGGCGCTCAGGCACACCCCGCCACCGGTGGAGCAGGCGGCGCTCAGCCACACCCCGCCACCAGCGGAGCGGGCGGCGCTCAGCCACACCCCGCCACCGGTGGAGCAGGCGGCGCTCAGGCACACCCCGCCACCGGTGGAGCAGGCGGCGCTCAGCCACACCCCGCCACCAGCGGAGCGGGCGGCGCTCAGCCACACCCCGCCACCGGCGCAGCGGCGGCGATCTCGGAGATCGAGCCTGGAGCGATATCTCCCGCGCGCTACACGGCGTCACGCTGCTCGTCAAGCGGAAGGCCGGCGCCGGCTCGGTGACGGTCTGGGATTGGGTTCGTCGGTTTTGACGCGGCCATCCCGGGGCCGACGCAGCGGTCTGACACGCTCAGATGGCAGGTGCTACTCGCGAGAGGATGGCGATCAGTGCACTTGGACCTGAAACCAGCTGTTACCCTCAAAGGGTTGGACGCACAGGCGTCGCCACAAGAGGGGACAGGGAGCCGCTCGGCCCAAAAGTTTGAAACGATAACGCTGAATCCGGTCCACGTGGGCGTGGGGAGATCAGCTAGGTTTCCACATGGTTCTGTCCTCAGACCCACATCGTTTCCCCGCAGCCTCGAGCTTCGACCCTCGAGCGACATCACCGGCTGGACGCCGAGGCAGCTACAGGCCTGCTCCACTCACACTGATCGGCTGAGCGATGCCCTCGATGGGGTGGACGACGTAGACGGGCGGCTGGCTGGAGCCGGCCGGCTCACACAGCGGCACCAGCGGCCGGCGGGGCGTCAGCCGGCCCGTCTCGTACGTGCCGTCCGGCCGCGGATCGAACACTGCCGAGCGGAGCGCACGCTCAGTGGCCGGCGGCGACGCACGGGGCCGCGCTAATGAGCCCAGGCGCTCAGTGACCCAGGCGCCCGCCGTACAACATAGGCGTGCAGCTTTTGGTGAGCAGCCGAAAATCGCAATTGCAAAATAACGTGGACGGGACAGGCAATGTTAGGTTGATTACTTACTGACACACATCCTGATACAGCTATTCATGTTTTTAGCGTACATAATTATACACAAAAATAGCCAAAAAAGTCTTATGAATTGTTACAAAAGCGACCACATTCGAAAATTCATACTTAACATGGCAATCATCACCTGAAAGCACTATGAACTTGGCCACAACATCGGGCACTTGAGCCTCCGTCTCCAGCCACCCACAAACACCCGACATGAGCTCGCCGTCCGGCGCGCTTGTCCCCCCCCCCCCCCCTCATCGCGGAACAGCCGCCCCCCCCCGCCCCTCCCTCCTCTCCTCTCACCGAACAGGCCGTGTCCGGCGGCGGACCGCTGCTCGTCGGCGGGCTCCGGCCGCGCGCCGCCGTCGGCGCCGCCGCCTGCCCGCGCCTCCTGCAGCTCGGCCAGCCGGGCGAACGTCAGCAGCCGGACCTCGGCCGGTTCCAGCGTCAGCCCGTGCTCGCGCTCCAGCGTCTGCTTCACCTCGACCCCCATCAGCGAATCGAGGCCCAGGTCGGCCAGCGTCGCCTGCGCGCTGAGCTTGCTGGCGTCCTTCAGACCTGCCGCCAGGCCACCAGACGGTCAGGGCGGCTGCCACGCCGCCAGCACGCGGGACGCTGTAAAGGGAGCGCCCTGTCCGCAGAAGTCGGACCTGCCTCTCGCGCTTTGCACTGGTCTGGTGGGTGTTCACCAGAAAGAGCTAATGAGAACATTTCAACTGCAGGCAGACGTTGCGCCATGCATGTTGGCTTTACAATCGCACGGAACACGGAGACGTTTTAGAGAACACGAAGTCAACACACACGGACCCCTTGTCGGCCTGAGGGGACGCCCTTCATGTCATTTCAGGCGAGCCTGCGGCTCTGGGACTGTCGCCAGGTCAGCCACCGCGGCGGCGGCGGCGCGACTCACCCAGAATGTTGGCCACGGTGTCGACCAGGCTGGCCCGGCTGCCGGCGTCCGGCCGCTTGTCAGCCAGCACCACGCTGCTCACCACACCGCTGCCCTCCAGCGTCCTGCGCGCGGGGCGTGACGTCACTGTCTGACGTCACATCACGGAGGACGAAAGCTGCTAGGCCACCATCGGAGGTCACAGGGCCAGTCAGCGGTCACAGGATCAGAATCGGAGGTCACAGGGTCACAGTCTGAGGTCACTCGGTCAGAATCGGAGGTCACCCAGTCATGACCGGGGGTCACTGGATCACATTTGGGGTCTGAGTCCCAACAGGTCACTGGGTCGCAGCAGGGGGTCACTGAGCCATCGATCGGGCGGCGGTCGTGAGTTACGCTCGGAGACAGCCGACTCGCATCCTCGCCACCGGCCGACCGCTGGACCAATCAGCCGCCCAGCGCTGTGGCGCACAGATCTAAGGCCCTCTGTCGCACACCACGCTTCACCAGCACGTGGTGTGCGACAGAGGGCTTTAGATCACGGAGCGCCTCAGATCATGCGGTGCCGGTGTCGAACGCCATCTCATCCACATCCCGCTGCACCGTTGCCACCTGCCACTGTGTCACCTGACACTGTCACCTGTTGCTGTCATCTGACGCTGTCGCCTGTTGTGCCTACCTGACACTGTCACCTGACACTGGCACTGTGTTAGCAGTGGTTACAAAGTAACACAACCCAACGCACGTCGCCAGCCCGCGAGGCGCCACAGAGCTCGTGTCTAGTGTCATCGGCCGGCGAGCGGGAGGAGAGAGAAGAGGCCGGGACACACCGGTCGAGAATCTGCAGGCAGGAGTAGATGCGCTGCGGCAGAGTGCCGCCCACCACCACGTCGTTGCCGCCCATGGTGTCCTGGACCACGCCCACGTCGCCGATGGCGCCCCACTGGACGGCCAAGCCTGGCGGCACGGGTCAGGTCAGGTCAGGTCGGGTCAGGCCACCGCAGGGTAGGTCATGTCACGCCTGGTAGTGGCTCAGAGAACAACATGAGGCCCCAGAACATTCCCTGGCAGCGCAGGTCACGTTAAAGACTGCGTCAAGGAATGCTGGGGCTCAAATATCAAAATATCACGACAACCTCGCGCGCAGATCGACCGAACGCGCGACCATGCGGCCTGTCTGTCGCGGCAGCAACTACCCGGAGCAAAACGCAGAACCGCACACTTACTTATCCCAAAACTCGTTTGTTTATACATGTTAAGTAACACAAACCGATCGTCTGTTTATCCGCGGCTGTGACATACCATACCATGTGACGCGTGACAATCCCTCCCGGCCGTGTGACGTGACAATCCCTCCCAGGCCGTGTGACATGTGACAGCCCTTCCCGGGCCACGTGTCGCACCCCATCGTGTGATGCCTGACAAGCCCTCCAGGGTCGTGTGAGGTGTGGCAACCCCTCCTAAGCCGTGACATACCGTGCAGGCCTTCGGCGTTGCGCCGCTCCACCACGCGCTCCATCACCGAGTTGGCGTAGCCGTAGTTGGCCTGGCCGGCGTTGCCTCTGCCGCAGCTCACTGACGAGAACACCACAAACCTGGCGCAGCGGCGGCGCAGCGGGTCATCGCTCCGGTCCGGCGGCGCGGCGCCAGTACACACGTCACCATGTGGTGGGACCTCGATGCGTTGGTACAGGTGAAGCACGCTCGGCCATAGAGGGGGAGGGGGCAAGCCTGTTTACCGGCGGGAAGGCGCGTTACCCTGACGAGAATACCATGGCAGCATCCAGGGCGGCGAGGGAGAGAGCGTGGGGGGGGGGGGCAAACAGATCACCGGGAGCGTCGCAGAGGCCGGGCGGGTAGGCCGCGGCCGCCCGCTCGACTCACCACTGGCAGCCGGTGCGCCGGGTGGCCCGGTCCAGGTGCACTGTGCCCTCCGCCTTGGGCGCCGCCACCTGGCGGAACGTCTCCACCGTCTGGCCCTCCAGCAGGCCGTCACGGAGCACCTGACACCACACCAGGGTCACCGCAGGTCACAAGACGGTCACCGCAGGTCACAAGGTCATCACAGGTTACAAGCCGGCCACCACCGACCACACACTTGTTAGCAAATGGACCACGCTAGCTCCCATTACGTCAGCGGAGAGCCCCGCACACCAGGCACACCAGGAGCAGTAGCGCCCCGCAGCGGCACGCGCACTGCACAGTGTCCAGTACACCCAGCGAACGGCCGCTGCAGCTACGGACCGCGTGTGGGCGCGAGGGAGCGGCCGCGGTGCAGATGCCGTCCATGACGCGGGGAGGCGCTCACCATGGCCAGGTTGAAGACGCCGCCGATCGGACCCAGCTTGGCCGCCGCCTGCATCAGGCGGTCCGCGCCCGACGTCGTGCTGACGTCATCGCGCGAGATCTGTCGATCGGACGGCGGCGTCACGCCGGCCGCACAGCTGGTGCGGCGAGGTGCGCAAGGCACAGTCACACATCAGGCCGGACCGACCGAGTGTCGGCCCTCCGATGCGCCCTCAGTCTAACATGACTGATTCGTAAACCCTAAACGCCTTGAAACCTCCAGATATCATGCTCATGATCATCGTTAATTATCACCGCAGGTCGCGTCGGAAAATGGTCGCTTCCGTGGGAGCGACGGGCGTCTTCCACCAATGGCACATCACCGCCTGTGAAAGCCGTCCAAAAATGCGCCAACGGCTGCGGCAGCAGCACCGACCGGCCGCCTCCAGCGCCGACCTCGTGCTGACCTGGACGGTGACGCCCCTGCGTCGCCACGAGTGCACGCGAGAGGCTTGATAGCCGTCCTTGACGCCGCTGCGAGAGGTCAGCACCAGGTGGCGCGCGCCGCGGGTCACCAGCCACTCTGCAAGAGGAGGGAGGGGGCTCAGGCCGGAGGCACACCAGAATCACCAGATGCGGGCACGAGACAGGGGCGATCCTGAGCCGCCACAGGGACGTTCGAGTTGTCAGAAACCTGAAAACACTTTCGACTCAACATTCTGACCCATCCGAGCACTGGCACAGACGCCTAATTTTCATAACACTCATCACCTGCTGCATCTTGAGATATGCGAGTTGTCAGATACTAAACACTCATCAGCACTCATCATCCATGCGAGGCATGCTGAGATTCATTCTTTCTTCTTGGAGAAACTAGGTGCATGGGCTCCGTGGGGTGAGAGCAACGCTGTATTTGGCAGAACACCGTAGCGCCGCCCGTGACACGCTCCGCGGTGTCCGGTCGGTCGGCGACGGGCCTCCTGGCGCCGCCTGACACTGAATGACCAACTGATGGTGGCCGACATCGACTGATACTGACCCGACATCGACTGAAACCGGCCTATATGGGCTGAAACCGGCTGACATCGACTGATACTGACCGGCATCGATTGAAACCAGCCCATATGGACTGAAACCGGCCGACACAGACTTATAATGCCCGACATCGACTGATTCCGGCCGACACCGACTGATAGTGACCGATATCGACTAATACAGACCGACATCGACTGATAATGCCCGACATCGACTGATACTGCCAGACATAGACTGATAGTGACCGACATCGACCGATACTGGCCGACACCGAACGAATGACACTGATCGGCCGACACCGACCGACTGCACTGAACGACATCAGCTGATGCTGGCGGACATTCACTGACACAGACTGACACTGACACCGACTGACCGGCCAACTCCAGCCCGAAGCCGCCCAGGCCGCCGGTGATGACGTGGACACGCTCGGCGGGCGGGTAGCAGCGGTGCACGGCCGGCACGAGCAGTTGCTCGGACCGGCCCTCCTGCCGTAGCTGCAGCACCACCTTGCCGATGTGACGGCCGGCCGCCATGTACCTGCCGCAGTCCCAGAGCGGGGGTCAGGCGAACACTCGAGACCCTGCACACCGACGGCCGCCGAAACTCAGTGAAGACCGCTCAGCCATGTCTGGAGATACGGAAGCGTACCTAGGCAGTGCAAGCACGAGAAATGCATGCCTACAAGAGGTCAGTGGGGTGTACACTCAGAAGTGATGGTGCTCGCGAAGAATGAGCTCCAAATGCAGCCACTCTGCGAATGAACTGCAGGGACAATTCTAATTGACGAGACATCAAATGAGCCTGGTGTACGTCACATAACGCCGCACATGCCACGAACGTCACACGAGTCACGTAACGGTATCACATTCACGCGACCCTCACGCTAAGACCAACTCGCGTGACTACGCGTACGTTTATAAGCCGCCAGCTGCACCAACCGAAATCACGTGCGCGCGTCTGTCCAGCTGCCGCACCTGAACGCCTGCTCGATCTGGTCTCGCGGGAAGACGGCTCGCGGCAGGGGGCGCACCACGCCGCTGCTCAGGCCCTCCGACACCAGCCGCGTGACGCGCCGCTTCGCCGCCGGGTCGCCGTCGCCGAACAGTGCGTCCAACAGGATGCCGTGGAACGTCACGTTGCGCAGGAACACGGCCATGCCCAGCGGACTGACGGCCAGGGCGCGGGTCAGCGGCCGCCGCCAGTCACGTGACCGAGGGAGGGGGGGGGGACGACAACGTGCTCACTCCGGTGAGCCAGACCATCAAAATGTGGTCTCCACCACACTGTGACACCCAGCCACCGCACACAGGCCGTCCGCGCGCTTCACGGGCCACCTCCAGCCGTCGGGGCGGCGCCCGCAGCGGGATCCGCTCACTTGTTCTGGCTGAGGTCGAACTTGCCGATCTCCAGGAAGGTGCCGTGCTGCGCCAGGCAGCGCACCGAGGCGCGCAGCTTGTCGTCGCTGAGCGAGTTGAGCACCAGGTCGACGCCGCGGCCGGCCGTCAGCCGGCGCACGGCCGGCTCGAAGGTCAGGTCGCGAGAGTTGAGGATGTGCTCCTCGCGCAGCTGGCGGAGGAGGAGCGGTGGCGGCGGCGCCCGGTCAGGGATGATGAGCGGCTGACAACGGGGGTGACGGGGGCGAGCAGTGGCCCGTTTTATGTGTCTACACTACACAAATATGCATGGTTTCAGTCGGTTCAAATGAGTGTCAAACCATCAATAAACTGAGGCAGTATGAATGACGGGTGGTGGCCGGTTCGGCAAGGTTCTTCGCGGGCGCTTGAATATTGACCGCTTGGTTAGTACACCAGGAAAGGGAACTGAGACCAGTCATTGCGATCGAGCCCAGACCAGACACCTGTCGCTCCGGAGAGCCGGGTGCTGGCACATGCGTTCCTCGGTCGCGGCCGTCATACCTTGGGGAAAGTGTTGAGCAAGAACTGTTTCTTGGGCTGCGAGCCGACCGTGGTGAAGACGGTGCAGTTCATGCTGAGGGCGATGGTGATGGCGGCCTGGCCGACGCCGCCAGAGCCTGCCGGGGTCGAGCGGTCAGATAATGGCGGCGGCTGGACCACTGAACGTCTCCCAGCAGTGGCTGATTACGTGACATGGTGCGTAGCAAGATGCAGCGAGCTGCGTTTGATCTCGGACAAATGCGTATACTTGGCAGACATTGGCCGGAGGGGCTGCGGCCACACCAAACGCTGACCCCGCGGGGCCCACCGGGTCTGCACCTGACCGGAGGGGCTGCGGCCACGCCCGCGGCGTCTACAGTGTCCGCACCTGAGTGGATGAGGACGCTCTGCGCCGGCTGCAGCCGGCCGCGCACCACCAGCGCGTAGTAGGCGGTGGCGTACACCACCGGCACGGAGGCGGCCTCCTCCAGCGTCCAGCCGGCCGGCACCGGCCACAGGAACTCCGGGTCGGCGCGCACGGTGGTGGCCAGACCGCGCGCCGGCACCAGGCCCATGACGCGCTGGCCGGCCGCGTCCACGCCGGCGAACTCCAGGCCCAGCACGCACTCCTGCCGGGCAGAGGCAGGGCGCTGGGTGGGACAGGCTGCTGGAGAGGCGCCGGTCCCACCGGTGTCGGCGGCCGGGCGGGCACGCGCGGAGGCGGCTACGGAGACGGCCCAACCGGCGGGACGGGATGTCACGAGAGGTGGGGGAGGGTGGTAACTTTAATAAAAGTAGTGGAATAAAAAAGTATCGTAGAAGAACGTAAACAAGTTTTTTACGTAGGAGGGCATCATTCGACTTTGTGTTGTTACAGACCGGAGGTGCAGAATAGAGAATTAAACAACGATCGAGAAGTAACAATCATGACGACCCAGCCGTGGGCCAAAATGTGAGGCGGTCCGGCCCATGCACATTTTTAGGAAGACGTTTTCCAGGAGACGTTTTGCCAGTTAAGCATTGTTCGGTCGGGCACGATATTTCAAATTTGTAGGCCTTTGCCATGGGCCATGGTCTGCAAAATCCCAGCAATTAAAAGCTTAACTTCAGCACGCGGTAGACCAGACTAAAGAACGCCTGTGCGATCCAGCGTCCAGCAAATCATTTGGTCCAGCCTGCCGGCCTCAACGGCCCACCTGTCCCGCTCAGGGGCGCGGGCGGCCGACAGACCGGCGCGCTGGTGGCGGCGCCGCGCCGCCCGCCAACACACCTTGGTGGCCAGGTCGCCGGGCAGCGCGTCCACCGACAGCTTGCCCGTGGCCAGCATGATGTCGCGGAAGTTGAGCGGCGCGTAGTACACCTGGCACAGCTGGGAGGCGCTGTAACAGGCCGGCCGGGGTCAGACGCCACCGCGGCGTCGGCCTCCGTCACGCCAGCAGCAGATGGTAGTACTGCGCGGCGGACCCCAGTCAGATGCGTGGTGCTGGTCAATACGCGCCACATCGTCCATACTGACGGTAACTCACGAATAAATACAATAAACAGAAGTATCCAATACCCCACTCAGAACACCATGAAACCAAATCCATCATTATTTATCAGGGTTCACCAACAAATGCACTAAATAAAGACATCTTGAGTAACCTTCAGCATAATATACGTCTAAGTGAAAAGATGAATCCAAACAGCGGAGCAGGCCCGCGAACCAGACAGCATCGGGCGCACGTCACGGAGCGCCACGGGGCCGCGCTGTCCGCCGGCCGGCCGGTCAGCAGCGGCGCGGCAGCCGGGCGGCCGAGAGCGCGCCCGTTGGCTTACTCGACGTGCCGGTCGTCGCTCTGCACCCAGCTGAGGCTGGAGAGGTCGCCGCGCTGCGTCGTGTTGATGAACGCGTGCCGGACGGGCTCGAGCGGCGGCGTCGGCGCCACCACGTGACGGTAGCTGCCCCAGCCGCCCGACACGTGACACAGCGCCGCCAGGTCGCTCCGGGTCACGTGGTCGCGGTCGGCCTCTGTCAGGGGCCGGCCCGGGCTGTAGACGGCTCTGCGCGGCAGACGGTGGCGTCAGGGGGCCGGCGATGCGGGCGGGGCGGGCGGGGCGGGCGGGGCGGGCGGGGGGGAGGGGCAAAGCACGGCGGGTAGTCACGCCACCTGACGGCCGCTATGGCCTTGCGTGGATACGGAATGTTGCAGTGGGATACCATACCAAAAGGTGAAAAGCCAGGGGCACTACCTGCCATAGGGCATGGCCGTTCGGAAGTGTTTGTAAAGTGGGTTCGTTAACTAGAGCATTTAAGATGAAAAGCGTAGCATGGACGGCAAAGTTGTCTCAGGAAGACATCAAAGTGGGCAAGAAGCTAAGCAGCTATGCTGATTAACAAAACGAAAGGATGTGAGACAAACATACCTGAATGGACGTGGTTATAAACAGAACATGGGCGCAGTCCTACGCCACGGCGAAACGGCGCCTCATTGGCAGAGCAGGCAGCGGGGCAGTTCGAGCTGGGAACGCGCGACACTGCCAACGAGGGCCGGACAGCGGGGCGGCGCGAGCCGGGGACGCCGCTGACGAGGGCCGGGCCTACCGACTGGGACGGACCTGATGACGTGTCCGTTCGGCTCTCGCCGCAGGCAGGCGGCCAGACCCAGGATGCCGGAGTCGCCCTCGTCGGCCGTCACAAACAGCCTGCAAACGTCGCAGCGGTCAGCCAACCGACGACGACCTCAGCATGACGTGTGACTGAGCATGGCGACGAGGACGAGAAGCTGCTTCAGTTGGCTTCCCGGACGTGCCGCACGGAAGCTCAGAACCGGCCGATGATGTCGTGCCCCCCCCCCCCCCGCAGGGAACGACGCAGAGGGCTGTGGTTTTGCGTCGTCAGTATCCACAAGCAGGCGATTCAGCACCACAGCCACGTTGCCTTTTGTCAAGTGCCGCCCTCAAGCCGCCACCTATGACGTCACAGGGAGGTGCGTCACAGCAGCTCTCACGCTTTGGAGCAGAGTCGCTTGGGCGCGCCGTACCCAGCTGTGACGTCATAGGCTACAATTCCGGGTAAGTTCTTTACTAGAGAAGGACTCGGCCAGGCCGACTGGGAATTAAAAGCCCCATTCTCGCCACCAGACCCGTCTGGTACAAGTGCCCATCGCAAGGGGCAGCCGGAGGGTGACACGCCAGCCTGCGCCTGCTCAGGATCGGTCCATTGGGTGAGGCCGCCAGCACAGACCGTACCCAGCACCGCTGCGCATCATCACTGCCGCATTATCTGCATCATCATACGCGCCTCTCCTGGCCGGCTGTGATTACGTCACAACGAAAGCCGCCGGTGCAGTCCTGATGTCGCAGTCTCCAGTAACACGCTAACAACGCGCATCCTAAGCCTCGCATTCCTATGGCGAGCCCTCTCCCCTGCGTGCTCCGGTGACACCAGCCGCCCCGCCTCTGTCCCGGCCGGGGGGGGGGGGGGGGCGGAGCACCGACCTGTCGTGCTTCGCCGACACCAGCCGTCCCTCCTCTGTCCCCAACTGAGAGCGGCGGTATACCGACCTGCCGTGCTGCGGCGTCTCGGCCAGGTGGCGCTGCAGCCGCGGCAGCCAGTCGAACTCGGGCCCGGCGGCCAGCGGCAGCCAGCGCCGCTCTTCCGCCGCCGGCGCCGGCGCCGGCCGGCGGTGCAGCAGGAGCTCTCCGTTCGTCCACAGCTTGTGCGCCACGGTGACGACGGCGGAGGAGGCCGGCATCGGGCTCGCAGTGAGCAGGAAGCCGCCGTCCCGCAGGCCAGCTGACGGCCGGCGGAGGAGGGGCGGTCACCAGCGGCCGGCGGGGGAGGGGCGGTCACCAGCGGCCGGCGGAGGGGCGGACACCAGTGGCCGGCGGGGAAGGGCGGTCACCAGCGGCCGGCGGAGGGGTGGTCACCAGCGGCCGGCGGGGAAGGGCGGTCACCAGCGGCCGGCGGAGGGGTGGTCGCCGGCGGCCGGCGGCGGAGGGGCGGTCACCAGCGGCCGGCGGAGGAGGGGCGGTCATCAGCAGCCGGGAGAGGAGGGGCGGTCACCGGCGGCCGGCGGAGGAGGGGCGGTCACCAGCGCCCGGCGGGGGAGGGGCGGTCACCAGCGGCCGGCGGAGGAGGGGCGGTCACCGGCGGCCGGTGGAGAGGCCGGCCGGTCACCAGCGGCCGGCGGGGAGGGCGTCACAGGGGAGGGTGGTCACCGCGGCGGCGGAGGGGGCGGTCCCACGCGTGGGAGGGGCGGTCACCGGCGTAACGGCCGGCGGAGGAGGGGCGGTCACCAGCGGCCGGCGGAGGAGGGGCGGTCACCGGCGGCCGGCGGTCGTGGGTGGGTGCGGAACGGTCACAGGGTGAGGGGGGTAACAGCAGCGTGATGGTAGCGGTACCCGGCCGGTGACCAGTAGTCAGCCACATGACGGAGAGAGCGCTGCCGTTATTGAGGCCATGGTACCGACCATTAAGTGAGCTGCTGAGGTGGCCTGCTCGGCAGAGGGCCAACTAGGAGACTGAAGTCATACCTTCGAAAGAAACAAACTGAAATGCATACGACCCGTCTCGCATAATTACGACCGCCCGTCTGAACAGCGCCGCCAACAGCGGAGCCATCCCTGAAGCCGTCCGCTTACCGAGCACGCGCTCCAGCACCTCCTGGTCGGCCCGGAAGCCGTTCAGCACGATCAGGTCCTGGCCAGAGACGGGCAGCGGCCGCGCGCGGTCCCAGACCTCCTGCTGCAGCGGCTGCTCTAGCGGGCGCTCAGCGGGCGTCACCAGCACCGACTCGGCCTGTCGGGGAAAGCAGAGTGACCGTCGGAGACACGGCCCACCCGCTGGCGGGCATCGCGGACAGTCCTCAGGGTAACCGACGTGGTTGCGATGGTAAGACACGCGTGTTCTGAACGCAACAGTGATTACTCAGCGCTACTTGACAACGGCTAATGGGCGCCACGGTGAACAAAGGAGCTGACTGTCTTGTGGTCCACCTGCCACCGAGCGCCACCATGAAAACATAACCCGACAGAACCATCAGAGTCAATATACATCCAGGTCAATATATTCAGGTCAGTATGTCTCGACCGATATATGCCGGCAGCGTAAGCGACCTGACGCACGACGGCCGCGTCATCCTCGGCTGACCTGGACCAGGGGCTGCTGGGTGAGCCTCTCCACGATGGTCCGCAGCATCCGCCCGTCGCCGCCGTCCTCGGTCACCTCTGCCACTTTAAGCCGACTGCCAGCCGAGTTCTCCAGCACCAGGTCAGCCAGCACTCCCAGCAGAGTCTCCTCCGGGAGGGGGCCTGCTTTCTGGGGAGCCACACAACAGGTCAGCCAGCACCCCAGCAGGGTCTCCTCCGAGAGGGGGCCTGCTTTCTGGAGAGTCACGGAGAGTCACACCGCACCAGGTCGGTCACTAAGCCCGGAAATGCGGGCGGCTAGCCGAGAGATCGTCCGCTCAAAATGTCAGACAAGGTACCTCTTAACTGCTGCTGGAATTACAATCAACTTGATAGCGGCCGGGTTCGAGTGCCCCAGGGACACACAAAGCCACTGGTAAACACCACCTGAATTATGATATTAACTTCCACAACGTGGATTTTCCTAGCTTCCGCGTCAATATACATGCAATAGTCACAGATGATGGGAATTAAGAAATTAACACATAAATTATGTAGATTAATGATCCCCGTTATTTGGGCCAACCGCTCGACCAATCTTTTTCAGAATGTAGAACGCTATTATTTTTGACACCAGCACTTCAACTCAGTATTAAAACCATATGCTTCCAGCACCGGACCTAACATCACGTCCCAAGCCCGTGTTTAGCCTCTGCACAGCCGCAGCCGCGCCAGCGGACCGACGCTGCGCACCTGGTCGAAGTGCGGCACGAACTGGTACGTCTCGAGCAGCGGCGCCGACTGGTTGTGGCGGCGCTGCCGTCAGCGACGCCTTCAGACCGCAGATCTCGACGGCCGGGCAGACGACGGCGTCCAGCGCGGGGTCCGACAGCACAGGCACGTCAGCGCCATCTGGCGGCCGCCAGGGGCACTGGCGTCAGCCGTGTGGCGGCGGGGGGAGGGGGGGGGGAGGGGCGACGCAAGACACTGTCCGCGAGTGCTGATGTGGGATCAAGGGGTGCCGAGTAGTGGGACGATAAGGGACGGAAAAACGTGACGTTTTGTACCGCCTATTGGATGCAGTGAAGATCTTTTACACGAATGTGAGCTCTGCAGATTGGTAACATAACAGCTGAAGTTGTAATATGGGTATTACGCGGGCTGCACCAGATATTGTTCATCTTAGAAAGATGGTACTGGCGCATCTGGCATAGGACAGGCCCATTAGAAGAAAACAACGGGAATCGTCTGTAGCGTTGTGTGGGAACACAGATAAGGAAGCCAGACGCAATGCTTATGAACGGACAGGTGCTGACGCAGCTGCCAGAACAGGAACGTCTCTGAGAGGCCACTAGCATCATGTGCAGACTATTCCCAGGGCTCGCCGCAGACGCTACACATCGCAAAACCTTCCACAGGGATGTACACACACGCCCCCAAACCGGGAGCAAGGCCGGCACTGCGAGGCAGAAGAACCCAATTGGTAAGGTGAAGAATTTCACGTGGAAGTCCGGGTTCGATTCCAGGACGACGCTTTAGCTTTAGCATCGCAATGCTTTGCGGTCTGAAAGCACCACGAGTGCGCTGGCTGAGCGGAAGGCCACCAGCAGCGGGCAGCGCGCCCTCCGTACCGGTGAGGTCACGCAGGTGTCGGCGAGGGTCGATGCCGACACGCTGGACCCGCGTCGGCAGGCTCAGCGTCCGCTGGTCACGTCCCAGGATGGAGAACTGCAGCATCGTGTCCAGGAACGGCACCCATTGGCCGTGCCAGCGCAGCAGGCCGCGCCCCTCTGCGGGCCCGGCCAATCAGGGGCGTGGGTCATGGGATGGGCAAACGAGGCGGCGGCGACGTGGCATCCACGCGTCCGCCACGCCGAACAAGCACAACACCGACCACATGTAGATACCTCACTGTTCGGTCACATGTTCACGGCAGCCTGTGGCCTCTGGTTGTGACACGATCGCTGCACAGAAATGAAGCGGGTTGCATGACTATATTTAGACGATTCACAAAGCAGCCCAAGTAGCCGCAGCGTCCGAACATGCGGTTAAAACGTTGTAGCTGCAATACAGTGATACAACACGCATGAAGACCGCACCATCTGGTTGCCATGACGACAGAGTGGGGTGTAGATTCGGCGGACCTCACCTGCCGGTACGGCCTCGGCGATGCCCTGGAAGAGGCCAGTGTACTCGTAGCCACGCAGACGGAGCTCCTTGTAGACGTCGCGGGTCAGCAGGCGCACGCCCTCGGCCGAGTCTGGGGGCCGCCGCGGACACTGTCAGCCCAGGCCAGCTGCGGCCAGCCTCGCCGGCCTGGGCGCAGTCATCAGCTGGCAGCGCGGCGACGATTAATAGCAGCACACACGAGCAACACGCCTCGTCCAGGCGTGGCGTGCGATGCGATACTGACGCAGCCCCATGAGGAGGACGGCCAGTATGGGGTGGACGGCGTCCTCACGTGAGGGTGGCTGGTCTGGGGATGGGCGACTGGTCTGGAGGTGGGCGGCTGGTCTGGCGAAGGGTGACTGGTCTGGAGATGGGTGGCTGGTCTGGGGGTGGGCGGTACCTCGCCTGACGGTGGCTGGTCTGGCGGAGGGTGACTGGTCTGGAGATGGGTGGCTGGTCTGGGGGTGGGCGGTACCTCACCTGACGGTGGCTGGTCTGGCGGAGGGTGACTGGTCTGGAGATGGGCGGCTGGTCCGGGGGTGGGCGGTACCTCACCTGACGGTGGCTGGTCTGGCGGAGGGCGACTGGTCTAGAGGTGGGTGGCTGGTCCAGCGGTGGGCGGCGCCTCACCTGAAGGTGGCTGGTCCATCAGCAGTTGGTGGGTGGGTCCCAGCGGCTCCTCCTCCAGCCGCACGTGGCCGGTCACCACCGGCGCGCCGTTCTCGCAGATCTCGAACTGGCCCGAGCCGTCCAACAGGGACACCATCAGACGGACACGGTCTGACGGCACGGAGGCGACGGGTCAAGGGTGTCCCGGTCCGCTGATGCGACGACACTCCAGCCGCCAGGGCCGGACAGACGCACTGGTGACTGAGTTTGAACGGTAGACTTCTCTCATGCAGTGTCTAGTGAAAAGTCGGGGAGGGGGGATGCCTCGAAGCTCTCGTCCCTGAAACATGCACATTTGGCCATGGCACACATTTCGCATCGTATTTTGGGCCGAGCCTCCTGAATGTCTAGTATACCAGCACATCGCTGCGAGTTTGCCCCAGTGAAATTGCGTGTCACACACGCGTGCGCACACACATACACACACGCCCACCAACCCACCCACCCACACCCACACCCACACCCACACCCGCACCCGCACCCACACCCACACCCCACACACGAGCGACGGAGTAGGGCCACCCCGACGGCACCAAGGACCACGCGTAGCCGCCCCGAGCAGCACGTACTGTCGCGGCTGAGGATGGTGGCGCGCCGGAACGTGACGTCACTGAACTCGACGGGCGTGTCCTCCATCTGGCGGCCGAGACTCTTGGCCAGAGCGCGCCACACCAGCACCTGCCGGACGGCGGCGGCGCGCGTCAGCCGACCCCACCCGACCCAGAGTCACCAGTGACGTCACCGGCAGCTGACGTCACCGGCAGCTGACGTCACCGACAGCCGCCACCAGGCTGGCGGGTCTGAGGAGACGGTGCTGAAGGCTGGAACGATTCACTAGACACTGCATGTTGAGACGTAATCCCAGCTCTGACGTTCACAGGCAAAATACCATAAATGACGTGGGAAGCATTGTTCAAGAGAAAATTCGTAGGCTTCGGCGAATTAAAGATGCTTAGGTGCTTCAAAAAGAAACGTTGACATGTTGGCAACGCAAAAGTTTCAAATTTTCATACTACGTCACAGGATACAATCCTTGAGCTGCATCGAATTACATGGACAGCTTCATTTCCGAAAAATGGCGCATGAGACTTTTCACCTTTCGACAGCAGACCTCGGTTACAAACGACCGGATGGTATTTAATTCCAGCATCCCCAAAATTGACGTCTGCTTCCTCAATCATACCACCCGACTAATGTTTCCTACCGCAATAACAGCCCTGTCAATCGTTGCCGAGGCCCCGACACCCACGACAAGGATCGGCAGCGGGCCCGACCGACCGTCTCCCGCCTCAGGCCTGTCCGTCGACACCGGGTCAGCGGCGGCGCCGGCCGAGGCCGCCAGCGTACCAGGTAGCCGGTGGAGGGGTACAGGATGCGCCCGTCGATGGTGTGGCCCGCCAGGTAGGCGTCCGACTCCGAGGTCAGGTCACAGGTCACCACCAGGTCACCGCCGGAGCCGGCCCTCTCACTGGCGTCAGGTCACGACACAGCGGGTCAGACTCTGCGCCCCGAGCGGGCCCGACCTCCCACTGGGGTCAGGTCGCGGTCGACCTTTGCCACTTCCGGCTTCGAGCCCTGTTCTTTCAAACGAACTTTCCGACGTCGAACGCATGCAAACACACGTGCTTGCGTTACGTCGTACATGATGCAGCCGGCGCGAAGGGCCACAGGCCGTGGGGGCGTGCCGGGCCGAGCAGGGCCGCGAGGAGCAGCGGCACAGCAAACAGACATGCTCCGGATGGCTCATAGTGACCCTAATCGCATACCACTCAACTTCTGAGTAAACTTTCGCCCAAACCACACAGCACACCACCTCACGGCCCCACTAGCAAGATTGGCTACTTCCTTTTCGCAAGCGTCCTATCATCCCACTGAACATGTGTTCGCGCACAGCCCTTTGATTGCCACGGGCCCCGGTGTGGCCTGGCTGCTACACCGTGGCGTTACTGACACAGACCGCGGTGTACCGTATACAGCGCCCCGTCGGCTGGCGAGGCGTTGTATACGGTTAGCCAGCCGACGGGCCGGGCTCAACAGCGGGGGCTGTGTCGCACCTGAAGTCGGCCACGTCCCAGGGGACGGCGTGGTCCCAGCCGACGCGGTGGGCCAGGCGCGGGGTGCCCCGGCGCACGGGCAGCGGCACCGGCGGGTACAGGGAGCGCACGGACGGCGTCAGGCCGGCCGTGTAGAGCCTGCCGACACCGGACAGCCGTCAGCGACGCCGCTGATCCCGGCCAGCCGTCAGCGACGCCGCTGATCCCGGCCAGCCGTCAGGGAGGAGGCGCACGCTTGACACTCCAGGATAGGGCGAATTCCCTGAACTGGGTGTCCGTCAGCGACCAGGGGAGGTCCCTGAAACGGGCAGCCGCCGGGGCCACGGGACACACGGGACGCCTGGAGCTGCGTGATACCAAGACACGTCCTGAGACTGGAGGCATCTCAGGGACTAGGGATGCAACCTGAAACCCAACACTCGTCCGTGACCATGTGTGCACCTGAAAGTAGACTCCGTCGGAGACCAGGGTCTAGCTCCTTGAAGCCAGACACCTTCGCTTATCAAGGACATACCCGGAAAGCCATCAGTCTTCAGATTGCAAACTGCATGTTCATCAATCCGTACGTATCGATAAAGCCTAGACCGAAAACGATTTATCAGACGCAAGACTGGGCATCAAAGCTACCTGTCCACCATACGCACACGCAGCAGACTGAGATTTTGAGGAGGTCCAAGCGTTAACCATCAGCACACCGTCACATTCCCCGGAGCGATTCACTCACGAGCCGATGCTCCTGAGGAAGAACTCGATGTTGTTGGAGGCGGAGCGCTTGTTGAGGCCGAGGATGGTGCAGGACGAGCTGAGCGAGCGCTTGAGGATGGCCTGCAGCAGGCAGTGCGGCGCCACCTCCAGCACGACGGCCCCCTCCGGCACGTGCCGCAGGGCGTCCTGGAACAGTACTGCGCCGCCGGCCGCGCGTGATCAGCCGGGAGCCGGGAGCCGGGAGCCGGGGGCCGGGGCCGGGGGCTGGGAGCCGGGAACCAGGGAGCGGGGCGGCGCCGCCACTCGAAGTCAGCGTGGAGGCGCTGGATGGGCCGGCGTCGGCCCCACTGGAGACGCGGAGCCAGCGCCGCCACCGAGGCTCCCGAACCACGAGCCGAACGGTGCCGAGTGTCCTGCCCTTCCCGGCCAGCTATGAGCGTTGACAGCAGTGGTTTGAGGGGCACTCACCCGGCTCGTGAAACCACCAGACACCGGACCGCGACAGAGCGAGCCCAGTGGAAAACACCAGAACTACAAATACCACACATGTTCTGACACGCGCCTTCTTGTGCATCGCAAGGAGCTTGGTATCGGCACTTAACTCCGCACCGGTACAGCCGAGCATGCTGCGATCGAAGGCCAGAGCGCCGCGCACGTCCTCTGGAGCATGGCACAGCAGAGACGCCAAGGCGCCGCAGCTTATGCCGCAAGCCCTCCTCGAACGCGCTGACAGGCGTGCCTGCTGGGGATGCCGCTCGGCCGGCGCGTACCTGGGTTCACCAGGTTGTTGACGTGGTAGGCGGCCGACGAGGTCTGGGCCAGCGGCAGGCCCCACGACTTCTCCGGGATGGAGGAGCTGATCCAGCGGGCCGTGCGGGGCCGCGGGCACGGAATCACCTGGTGACGGCAGACACAGCTGACGTCACGGCGCGCGGCCCACTGACGACTGAGCGACGGCGGCGGCAGTATCGAAACATTTCGTACGTTTACCTGCATCTTCTGGGGCGATGAAGGTCGATTATTTTCACTGCGCGCCTGTGCTGTCACCCTTGGTACTGCAAATGTTTGGACGCCAGGAGCTCAAGACAGCGTATTGCCACACGACTATTACTTGACGGGGTGAACGCGACTTTTGTCGTTGCAGCTCCCAAATTGTGCCAGGTCGAACCAATGTTCAACACTCAGCCTCATTGTCACTGTCCTCTGACAGATTTACACGCAATATCTCATCACCGGAGAAGACCAAACAAGTACTACAGCCGCGCAGCTCACTTAAACGCGTCACCTCCGCCCGCCGCAGCGCACGCCCAAACCCCGCCGTGGCCACCCTCGGCGGCGGGCGCCTGCCTTCTGCAGAGGGGCGGCACTCGGCCCACCTTCTCGAGAGCGGCGGCACTCGGCCCACCTTCTCGAGAGCGGCGCGCAGCTTGGGCGCCGCCTCGGCGATGTAGCGGGAGTGGAAGGCGACGCCGGACGAGTTGACGGTGCGGGCGAACACCTCCTCGGCCTGCAGCTGCGCCACGAACGAGGCCACCGCGTCACTCGGCCCGGAGACAGTGACCGAGTCGGCGGCGTTCTGGCAGGCGGGAACGATGCCCGGCGGGCAGCGGCGGCGAGCCTCCTCCCAGCTCAGGCCTGGCGGGGAACGGAACACGAGTCAGACACTCCCACATCGCAGCCGTTTGCAGACAACCGGAAGACACAGTCTGACAGATCGCTACCACTTCAGAAGCGAGTTGATATCCGCGGCACTTAGTCACCATGACATTCAACGCAACGGCAAGTTCCTTCGCACCTCGCAAGGGACTCCACGCAGTCAAACACCAGCACACCCATAAGTCAGTCCTGGGCAGCAGGCGCGCGTGCGCAGTGCCGGGCGGGCGGGGGGGGGGGGGGCAGGGCAGGGGGAGCACCCACCGACGGCAGCCATGGCGCCGGGCGGCAGCCGCGCATCGCTGATGCAGACGCCTCTCCAGTAGGCGGCCAGCACGGCCTGCTCGGCCGAGAAGCAGCCGTCGGCGTAGGCGCAGCCCAGCTCGCCCACCGAGTGGCCGATCAGGCCGTCCGGGCTCAGGTCCAGCGAGCGCAGCAGGTCAATCATGCACACCTGCCGACACCCGGACGGGTCAAACGCCAGGATTCAGGAACGGGTCACCGGTCAGGTCCAGCGAGCGCAGCAGGTCCATCATGCACGTCTGCAGACAGCCGGACAGGTCAGGGGTCAGGGGACAGGCCATGACACCATTTACATATAATGCTACACTACAGATTTACTTCAACAGCATGCAGGACTCACATGAGTCATCACGTATGCTGCTTACAAGGACAGCACGTGACCACCACGAGCAGCCGCCTCGCCTGATGGGCATGGACGAAGATAGGGTGGCGGTACTGAAGCCAGCCACCACCCAACACGCCGAAAGCCAGTGGATGAACGGACACAACTTCACCCGCTTTCTTTCCCAGCAGCCGCACAAGGCCGGCACTGCGAGCGGGCGCTGGTGCTGGGCGGGTTCGGGGGCGAGGGCGGCGGCCGTCCCACCCTCCTGGCCGGCCACGCCGCCACGCCTCCGTGAGAGGCAGTCGGCCCCCACCTGAATGGCAGCGATCAGGACGAAGGCGTTGGTGGTGTGCTGGAATGCTGCCTCGTCGTCCGACTGTACCAGCTCCATTAGCGAAATGCCGTGGGGACGCACCGCCTCGGCACACCTAGCGGGTCAGATCAGGTCAGGTCATGGTAACAACTGGCGCCAGCAGGGCTCACACAGGGCGGTCGAGGGGCCGGACGGGGCGTCCAGAGTCGCAGGCGCGCGCCGATCAGTTTGTATATCAAGTGCAATCATATATTTACCCTCTGTTTCGACTCTTTCCCCCAAACAAGCATACACTTCTTGATGTACCTCACATTACCTCGATATAAACAAGAAGGGTTTTACAATTCTGGTTTTTCGGCATTAACAGTTCAGAATGCTCGATGTGTCCAAACATGGTGACGAGCGAACAAGATCAATCTATATATATATATATATATATATATATATATATATATATATATATATATATATATATATATATCCAAACAATGTGAAAAGAATACTTGATAGTTGCAACGCAGCACTCGTCAGCGCGATAAATGTCGTCAACGCTACCAGGGTACATGATTACAATATATGTATGCATATATATATATATATATATATATATATATATATATATATATGCATAAATTATAATCATCCGTGTAAATCATCTCTGATGAATCGTTGCAACTATGAAGTATTTTTTCACATTGTTTGGCTTGGTGTTGTCTTTGAATCAGTTAGTGCCACCCGGATCATCTAGCTTATTTAGTGAAATAATGGATAGTGCAGGTCAAACCTATGGCTAGAAACTGTTAAGCAGACAGAATGCGCCTACCGAGTGAGTAGAACTCAAAACCCCATTTCACCATAACGCAAATCATCATGTCGATCATCTCCTTCCACAAAACCAGCGATCAAAAAACGCCAGATAACAGCTGTGCCCACACTGTTTTCACTGATAAATCCCAAAATTGCGTGCAAAACGCGCTTCCGCTGTGCAAAAGGCACAACTTCGACAATGATTTAGGCAAATGTACGTTCTTCACGTTAACGCCACAGGACGGACATGGGCTGTGCGGAGACGACGGCTGGCAGCCTGCACCTGAAGACGGCGGCTGGGCGGCCGGGGTCACTGACCTGGCGAAGGCCGCCTTGAAGACGGGGAACGCCATCAGCTCGCGGCCCATGCCGGGCCACTGGGAGCCCATGCCCGAGCAGATGTACCAGAGAGGAGGCCGGTCGCCGCCGCACTCCTGTACCGCGGGAGAGAGGCGTCAGGAGGGGGGGGGGGGGGGGGGGGGGCGCCGCCGGCCGACCCTCAGCGGCCACAGATATACCCGGAGAGGGCACGGACAGGCCCATAACCGGCGTCGATGTACAGCAACAGAAGCACGGTGGCCCAGGGCTGCCGTGACAGGCGCGCTAGCGCAGAGCACGCGGCGCCGGCACGCCGGCTGGGTGAGACGGCGACATGCACCAACGAGCGACGGTGCGCGTAAAAGCAGAACAGGACACATCAAAGCAATAAAAATAAAAGACACGAGAGCACCGGCGACTACCCGGAGCCACGCCACCTGGCTGCAGTGAGTCACAGCGCACGTTCCTGCAGACAGCGGGTGTCTGGAGCGGAGGCGGGAGGACGCCCGGGCTTGGGAAGTCCCGGTGCCGGTGTCACCTGGACGTGGATGGGGGCGTCTGGAGCGGAGGCGGGAGGGCGCCCGGGCTTGGAAAGTGCCGGTGCCTGTGTTACCTGGGCCTGGACGGCGCCGGTGCCGGAGATGGCGAAGCCCCGGTGGGTGTGACCGGGCGTGGCCGGCTGGTGCGAGTCGACCGTCATGGCCCACAGCTCCGGGTCGTCCGCCGAGCCCAGCGGCGCCAGCAGCGACTCCACGGCCGCCTCCGTTCGACCTGAGTGTACAGCCAGTGTGAGGACACACATACACACACACGCGCACACAGACATACCGCCACGGGCGCGCACCGGTGCTGTGACGCAGCGGGAATATAAGGTGCTGTAAGGCTTCAAAAGGCAGTGGTATCACAGTGCTCAGATTATATAAGCCAAGAACAGCACTATCCTTTTCTTGTCAGCGTATGCGATACGGGTATGAAGTTGAAGCTGAAGATGACGTTTCTTAACCGCTTAACACTGTGAGTGTCGCCACACTATCACCAAAAACGACCGCTTTAGAGCTTCGCCTCACGCCAGCGCTGCGCGGCACCACTTCCCCTCCCCGCAGCCAACACACACGCACGCCGTCGCCGCGGCCGCGGCCGAGCCACCGGAGCCGCCGTCGCTCACCTGACGCCAGCGCCAGCCGGGCAGGCGTCTCCGCCGCCAGAGGACCGGCCCGCGCGGCGCCCTCCGAGCGCAGGATCACGTGCACGTTGGCGCCGCCGAAGCCGAACGAGTTGATGCCGACGTAGCCGCCGCTCCAGGGCGTGTTGGAGGACACCACCTGAACGAACATTTCACACGTGTCACGCGTCAGCCGGCCGCCGGCCGCCTGTACGGGCCGCGACAACAGCTGCGGGTCCGCAGGGCATTGACACCCTCTGCCGGCCAGCCTCACCTGGACCTTGCCCTCCTGCAGGCCGCTGATGTCGGGGTTGGGCTGGCTAAAGTGCAGGTTGCCCGGGATCACGCCCGACTCCATGGCGATCAGCACCTTGGCCACTGAGCAGAGACCTGCGGCGGGACGACACGGTCTGAGACGGCGGCGGGGAGAGGGTGAGAGGGAGAGAGCGGCGAGGGTGAGAGGGAGAACGAGAGAGGAGAGAGAGAGAGAGAGAGCGAGAGAGAGCGAGAGCGAGAGCGAGAGAGCGAGAGAGCGAGAGAGCGAGAGAGCGAGAGAGCGAGGGAGAGAGAGAGAGGGAGAGAGAGAGAGAGAGAGAGAGAGAGAGAGAGAGAGAGAGAGAGAGAGAGAGAGAGAGAGAGAGAGAGAGAGAGAGAGAGAGAGAGAGAGAGAGAGAGAGAGAGAGAGAGAGAGAGGGAGAGAGAGAGAGAGAGAGGGAGAGAGAGAGGGAGGAGACCACTTGCAAGCGCCGCGAGCAGTGAGACACCCAGTCCCACCGTACCGCTCGCCCACACCCAAACCATCCCACCCGACGCATGCGGAGCCAGATCAGGCCGCCGGCAACAGCGGCGACACCGAGGCTGTCACCAGCGCGGCGGTCGGCGGTCTCACCGGAGGCCGGCTCCGAGTGGCCCATGTTGGACTTGACGGAGCCGATGAGCAGCGGCGACGAGCGATCCTTGCAGAGCGCCTCCGTTATGGCGCCCACCTCCACCGGGTCACCGACCTGGCGGCAGGTCAGGTCAGCTCACGTACAGGACGGCAGAGCACGGCGCAGCGCTGAAGCGGTGGTCAGCGGGCCGACAGAGGGACCCTGTGTGCCGTTATTGCGGCAGTGGTTAGCAGGAGTATTCGTACTTTGCATTTGTGAAGTCCACCGCCTCGCCAGGACCGATTTGCTGCTCAAAGAGCCGTCGCTGTGAGCTGATACAAACAGATTGCTTCAACGCACGCCTCCGGCCGTAAGTATTTTCCCCATGTGACAAAGCAGCATCCACTTGGAACAAACTGTGCCGCGTGACTCCACATGGCTACCATAAAAAACGAACACGTATCCGATAACCGGCACGGTGCGGCTACCGATGGCAACCCGACGGTCACGCGCGCTGAGTCACGGTCACGGGCCGTGGGTGGGAGGGGGAGGAGGGACGCAGGGCAGGACGAGGCGGTGCCGTGTACCTTGGTGCCGGTGCCGTGCGCCTCCACATACGCCAGCCGGCGGGGGTCGACGCCGGCCTCGGAGTACACCTCCTGCAGCAGCTGACGCTGCACCTGCGGACCCGGCGTCCGGCGGTCACACCGGCTCAGGGGAGCGACGCCGACGCGGCGGCGCAGCCACAGCTCACCCGCGCGCGGGGCGCGCGGCACGCGGCTGCTGTACACATGGTGGTAGCCGAAGCTGGTCAGACGTGAAACATGTGTCGGCTGGGGAAATGTGGGACATCGGCAGACCGTCTGGGCCTGTGCACGGTGGAACGGTATCATCCCAAAACAAAAATGCACTTACGACATCGACCATGAAACTTATGGGTAATCTCATCACCTGACGCAAATCAGGGCGTCAAATGCAACCACGCTTTCTGACGAGGTCTCGCTAAAAGGGCATTTCGTCAACTAAGGGAAAACCACGCATGGAACTGAAGGAATCTCTTTGGAAAGCAGAGAGCCGACCAGGCCCGGCCCCCAGGGCGCTCCGCTCACCTGGGTCGACGGGTAGGTGATTCCTTGGTCCTTGAAGCCGTCCGTGTTAGCCTTGGCGTGCACGACGGTGGCGTAGACGCGGTGGGCGTGCTGGGCACGCTGCAGCAGCACGGCCACGGCCGCCTCCGAGCGCACATATCCGGCGCCTGCGAGGCGGCGGGGCCGTCAGAGATCCGTCGGCGGACCGTCAGCGGACCGTCAGAGGACCGTCAGCGGACCGTCAGCGGACCGTCAAAGGACCGTCAGCGGACCGTCAGCGGCAGTGTACTCCGGCAGTGCGCAGTACACGGCAATACAAAGGGCCGCTGGTACTGCCCGGATGGTGCCGCGTGTGGATGGGCAGCAGCCAATGAGGCGTATCCAGACGGCCATCCCAGAATGGCACCACGTGCGGAGCGTTCGCCGGCGCCGGCCTGCATCCCGATTCGTACCTGGTTACAGGGTTATCTACGTTCAGCTGGGAAAGGTTGCCATTGGCTGGCTGGTAGGAAAGGCGAGTTGGTGCATCTCAGCGGCCAGTTTGAAACACTTCAGGCACTTGTGTCATTGTTGTTTGCAATATGAAGTGTTTCAGTCTTCATTGTCTGGCTTTAACGTGAAACCCACAAGGCATCCACGCTGCACTTCAAGTATTACCACAATGTAACTGGGATCACGAAATCAGAAACAAACGCCAAATGACTCGTTCTGACGAGGATGTTGCCACCAGCACTGTCTCCACCAACATGGCAAAGAATCGTCAAACTACACGGACACAGATGCCACGTCGCACACAAAGTCCAGCCACGCATCTCTGGACAGCAGCCCAGAACAGCGGCTGCACCTCCACTGCGCCACAGAGCCCGGGCTCCAGCGCAGCCGGGCGGCAGCTACGCCTGTCCCGGGACGGCCGGAGGCTCCGCTGCGTCGGGCGCTAGGGCTCCGGCGCAGCCGGGCGGCAGCTGCGCCTGTCTCGGGACGGCCGGCGGCTCCGCTGCGCTTCACGCTCACCTGTGGCGTCGAAGGCCTTGCACTTGCCCTCGGCCGAGAGCATGTTGAGCCGGGCGAAGTGGAGGCTCGACTCGGGCCGCAGGCAGAGGTTCACGCCGCCGACGATGGCCGCGTCACACTGGCCTGGTGCGGGCCGGGTCGGGTTAGGGCAGGTCAGGTCAGGTCAGGTTCACGCCGCCGATGGCCGCGTCACACTGGCCTGGTGCGGGCCAGGCCGGGTTAGGTGTGCACCGAGTGAGAGCGAGGGGCGGGGCGGGGGAGGGCATAGCACGCATGCACGCACACACAAGCACACGCGCGCGCGGGAAAGACGATGCTTAGATTATACTATGAGCGTATTCTGTCACGGAAAGAATTGCTGGTAACACAAATTATAGCGTACTATCCTGCCGGGGGTTAGTCTGTTAATTCAACCAGAAGCCATACGGGCTTCTTTTTCTCTAAGCAAAAGCAGAAATTCGTGCGAGTTGAAAAACAGGGATAAACCAGCCGTCGTGTTATTGTACATTAAGCACCACACTTTTCACTACCAAGTTTCGGCACGAAGTTCGTTCGGAGGCAAGGGTGTGTCCAGAACTGACCGGTTCTCATGCAGAGCAGGGCGTTGTTGAGAGCCAGCAATGACGAGGAGCAGGCCGTGTCCATGGCGTAGCTGGGACCTGCGAAGGCACAGTCCAGCAGCTGCACATAGCTCGAATGCTTGCCCAAGACACAGTAGTCATGAAGGAATAAGTGTTTCTCTCGCTGAACATGAAAAGAATACATGTCAAACAACGTCACAGCTTGGAGACGCTGGTGCCTGCTACAGTTACCAGTTACATGCCCAACTACAAGCCTCATGTTTTGACTTGCACTGGAATAATGCGACGTTCAATAGCTGCCCATAACTACCACGCTGCTTAGATTGTCACCTGAAGACAGCTGACAAAAAGCAGAACACGTGGGGATATTTTATGTCAGGCTATGTTGAACTTAACTCCACAACTTCCTAACTCGACCTCTTTGAATTTTCCTATCCACCCAACATATGGTCAGAATGCGCGCGCCCAACACAGATTTCGAAGACCCGGTTCTCAGACAAATCTCGGCACAGCTGACCGACGCCGTGCACTGTCGCTAACCAGTGAAGTGGAACGTGTAGCTGATCCTGTTGGCGAACATGGCGCGGTTGGTGCCCGTCAAGCCGTAGCCGTTGATCTGGTCGGGGTCCTCGGACAGCTTGGTGTCCGTCTCGCTCTGGGACACGCCGATGAACACGCCGGTCCTGGTGCCGCGGAGAGACTGCGGGCTCACTCCTGGGGACGGGGCAGCAAAGGTCACGGCAGGTCAGTGCGGCCACTGAAGGTCACGAGCCGTCGCTGAGCACCGCCGGCAGAAGCGGGGGTTTGTCAGCGGCCATCGAAACCCACAAGCGTTCACCGCAGGGGGGGGGGGGGGTCTGCCACGGCGGGTGCGAAGCAGACAGATCAAGGCCAACAAGCGTGACAAATGACAGCTACAAAATGGGGACCGTTCTTGCAGGTCACGAAAGCGGGTCAACGCCGGGTCAGCACGGGTCACTACAAACCAGCAGCGATCGTCGGGTGCTAGATGTGGCCACTGTAGGTCATTATCAGTCGCGCAATGTGAGCGCGGCTCACTCCAAACCAGCGGCAGGGAAGGAAGTACAACATTCCCAAGTCCCGCTGGGAGTTATCGACAAGGCGATCAGCAGACGCATTCTCTTACGTTTTGTTGGTTTCATCAACGCCTACGGATGCGCAAAAGCCAGCACGCGCCAAAGGCCGGGGACTGACAGACAGATGGTCGTTTGTCATCTATCAAAACGACGGATACTGCGCGGTAGTACTACAGGCCATTCACTGCACCGCAAATTGTTCGCAATGGCGTCGCATCAGACTGGCTGGCAAACTTTCCTTAGCCATGTTATGGTGGGAATCTTGGGTTAAAACTCTCGTGTGGAAATATGCAATGAAGCAAGACAGGCTGCTTAACATGGACCGGTTTCTGAGACATTAAATGTCACAAGGTCCGCATCCAAACACTGTCCGCCGGCCGGATCGTGGTCATAACGCTCCTATACAAATAATAACTAAACCAGAGGCATAGCCAGAATTTCACCAAGAAGGGATCCAAGCTGGTCAAGGGGGGCCATTCCAGCAAATACAGATAATCTTATCGCCGCTTAAAGTCTTGTTTTGTTTTTGTTTCGGTTAACTTTTAGACAAGAGAGCCTGTCGTGATGCCTTGGAGCGTTTTTACGTTGACGGGCCTACGGGCGCCTTGAAATGACAAAAAAAGCTGGGCCTTTGACCCCAGATAGCTCCGCTACCTCCGAGGCGGAGGGGAGGGTTTGGCTACGCTACTAAACCATACTGTGGTTTTACGAATCCAGGCCAGACGACCGCGCCATGACAGCGTATCCGCGTCGCTCGTTCCGGGGTCATAATGAATTTCCAACCGCCTTGTCAATGTGGATGATTTCCTGCTACAACGGCAGCTCAGGAAACTAACCGACGCGGCGCAACGGTCGTGGTGTTCACTCCTCTTCTCTACTACAACAGTCAGGCAACAGTCGGGTTTCGAAGCCACACCATGTACAGCCTATAAGTTTCGCATTTGAAATCTGCATCCACCTGTACAGCGCTTGATCCTGGAACTGCCCGAGCCCCGGACCAGACCTGATCCGGAACGTGGCTCAGTAGCTCTGATGCGAACCACGACCCAGGTCAGCAGGTCGGACCAGCTGTCCCTGACAGCCGCTGGACCACGGCTGACGCTGGGCCAGCTCCGGACACCGCGCCCGGCCGGCCGTCTGCACCCGTACCCGCGTCCACGATGGCCTCGTGCGTCAGCTCCAGCAGCAGGCGCAGCTGCGGGTCCATCTTGTTGGCCTGCTTGGGGCTGACGCCGAAGAACGAAGCATCGAACGACGACAGGTCCTTCAGCTTGCCGGACCGCGTCGGCAGGCCGAAGATGCCTGTGGGCCGGCGATGGCCGAGCGTGACATAGCCGCACTCGGTGGACCGATGATCACCGGCGAGGGCGGGGATGGGAGCGAGGGGGGGGGGGACAGGCAGAGCAGGCAACATCGACTGAATAGGCGATAACTCGGCCGCCACGCCGTGCTCGCGTCGCCACAGTGCTTACTTCCGTCACTCCACATCGGCCCATCAAACACGTGACCAGTGTTTGATGGGCGATGAGGGGCGACACACCATGTCAGACGGCTCACGTGACCAGTGTCTGATGGGCCGATGTGGGGTGACACATCATGTGGGACGGCTCACGTGACCAGTGTCTGATGGGCGATGAGGGGCGACACACCATGTCAGACGGCTCACGTGACCAGTGTCTGATGGGCGATGAGGGGCGACACACCATGTCAGACGGCTCACGTGACCAGTGTCTGATGGGCCGATGAGGGGCGACACACCATGTCAGACGGCTCACTTGACCAGTGTTTGATGGGCGATGAGGGGCGACACACCATGTCAGACGGCTCACGTGACCAGTGTTTGATGGGCGATGAGGGGCGACACACCATGTCAGACTGCTCACGTGACCAGTGCCTGATGGGCGATGAGGGGCGACACACCATGTCAGACGGCTCACGTGACCAGTGTCTGATGGGCCGATGTGGGGTGACACATCATGTGGGACTGCTCACGTGACCAGTGTCTGATGGGCGATGAGGGGCGACACACCATGTCAGACGGCTCACGTGACCAGTGTTTGATGGGCGATGAGGGGCGACACACCATGTCAGACGGCTCACGTGACCAGTGTTTGATGGGCGATGAGGGGCGACACACCATGTCAGACGGCTCACATGACCAGTTCAGAGCAGTTAGCGGCGGGCGGACCGCCACCCGGAGACGGGTCACAGTGTGCTCAGCGCCACGCGCCGGGCAAGAACAGAGCCGCGACCGAAGCCTTCCGCCCGCAAGAAACACGCCCACGGGACGAAGCCGTGACCGTGGTCAGTTGCGGTTTATTTGTTTATCGGGCAGATGGACAATGCTAATAATAACCAGCAGTCAAAGTGGCCGGCGTTGTCCAAACATCTGATTGCCCGCGTGGCTATGCATCTGCCTACTTCTAGCCTTAAGTTCGAGCGGCTTGGTTCACGTGTGAAGAGTGCCACAATTTCAATAGCAGGGAAGAGCTCTCCTTTAGATGACATGCTTGAATGAAACCAACTAAATCCCTGCATGACTGGATCCGTCGCGGCCTCTGTGTGACGAAAATCCGGACCGTTCTACGCATAACCGCTCGAAACATAGCACATAGCATAACCATTCGAATTCACAGTGAACGGCGCTGCCCGCCAACGGATCAGTCCGTGTGATTGGATCGCATTACGCGTCCGTACGGGAGGGGGGGGGGGCAGCTAGATCAGAAGCTGGACGGTCCGGCCGGGTGGCGGCAGGCCCACCGGCCGGGCCGGCGGGGTCAGGCCTGGGCCCTGGCCAGGGGTCCCAGCCGGGCGGCGGCGGGACCCACTGACCGGGCCGGCGGCGTCAGGCCTGAGCCCTGGCCGGAGGTCCCAGCCGGGCGGCGGCAGGGTCCACTGACCGGGTGTGAAGCGCCGGCCGTCCTCGGTCACCATATCCACGCCGCCGAACAGGTTGTCGGCGAACTCCTGCAGGTTGTCCGACTCCGGGAACTTGCCGCTGACACCGCTGATGACCACGTCATCGGCGAGCGACGACAGCGTCACCCGCCGGGGGCCCTGCGGTGACGTCACATTAAACGTCACTGGCCAGCTCGGTCACGTGCCATTCTGCGGTGACGTCACACGTCATCGCCAATAGCAGAGGCCCTGGAGTAGAGTCATATACTGCCATCAGACGGTGAGCAAATCGCCAACAGACTACGGGGAAAAACCAACTAGGGGACAAGCGTATGCCAGTATACGCGGGCAGAACACGCGACATGGTCTTCAGGACAACGTGAACACCGCCAGCCGGTCAGACACGGCTTAGCTGACCACATGGCTAGGGGCTCCGACCCGCCTTTTTACCCATAATCTCGGCTGGAGATAGCGTACCGTTTCCCGGGGATGTGGCTCTTCTTAGATAGTGTTTTTCAACGGTTCGCCACCTCCTGGTCAACATGCCCGGCCCTGACGCACCTCCTGGTCAGCACACCCGGTCCTGACTTACCTCCTGGTCGGTCACCGTCATGGAGTCGCCGATGATAGGCGGACAGTCCGGAAACTGGGCAGGCATCGTGATCGATACTGTCGAGACAAAGGACGGGACGCGTTACAGAGTCGGTCTGAGTACGGCACTGTCGCGGAAGAGAACAAAAGTATTGTGACCGAGGGCCCCATTACTTGTTTGCAGTTTAAGAGGTCTGTATGGCTTCCAAAACATCACACCGGACCTTCAGACATGAAAGTAAGATACCAAGCCTTAAACGGTCCTTTTAAGACACAGATGGCCCCTCAGCGACACAGCGGGTGGAGCTTGGAGGGCAGGGCCCCTGCCGCCTGATTGACCCCCACCGCTGAAATCCTGGCTACGCCACTGGCACAAGTTACAGAGCCGGCCAGCGTGACACGGGGCAGACGCCTCGGTATCGACACACACACACACGGACACGCACACACACACACACACACACACACACACACACACACACACACACACACGCACACACGCACACACGCACGCACGCACACACGCACGCACGCACGCACGCACGCACGCACGCACGCACGCACGCACGCACGCACGCACGCACGCACGCACGCACACACACACACACACACACACACACACACACACACACACACACACACACACACACACACACACACACACACACACACACACATCCAAACACACCCACACACGCAGCCGGGTGTCCACTGTGAACAGGATTGCCACGCACGGCATCTACCAAGCGTAGCACGTGCTAAGATCATCCATCAGCCGCACGGCATGCGCCGGTGCTGAGGTAAATGTCTGAGAAACGTTGCATTCTCCCAATGAGCTCACTTATTAGCGCGCTGCAAGCTCCGTCGACGCGAGACAATTTGAAACGGGGAACGGATGGAGCGATACCTTCGGCACTGTCTCTTTTGGGCGACTGTACGATCCGTAGGACAGGCATCCAACCTGACTCTGGAAGTATTCCGGACGAACCAATCCAGTTCAGTTTAAAGGCATTTATCCAATATCCCAACGACGATCCAATTATCCCATCCAGTACATTTGATAAGCCGGATCCACGAGTAAGACACGTCCACGCTACAACTCCGGAGCCTTTGCCAACGACGCATATGCCCGGGGATATGGGCCAGTTTTTGCCCGTAGTGCCACTCATGAACCAGTTACTGCAGACCCAATACCGAACCATAACAACGAACAGCTTGTTGACCTTGTTGGCCTTAGATGGCTGATGACCTTCGGACCTGCAAGCGAAAGCGATTTGAATCACGAACCAAAATGGCATCAGGTGACACAAAGACTTGTATCCTTTCAAACCGATTTGAGAGCGTCTAAACCGTGCATACTCGCCACAGCCTGCAGGCCTCTCAAGCTACACTAGTCCAGTCCTCAGCCGCGAACCAGCTTATCAAAACCAGCCGCAGACCGCAAGGGATCGCAAGGATCTAGGCCGAGTTGTGAGGGATGTGCGCATGGCGTTCGGTAAATCATGCGCACATACCTCATGATTCGGGACCAAACACGAGAAATGCGCCAACACACGCCACACGCGTGCCCCCCCCCCCCCCCCCCAGCTTTCTCAAGTTGAGGTGGATTCCCACATGCAGGCGTGATGCCAGGACCTGGGCGTGGGGGGCGCAGGGTTGACTGCGATTAGTGATACAACTTATGTAACGTAACGTAGTTTTGAGCATGCGCGCTCGCATTTCTTTGCAACAAAAAACTCGACGCAAGACGTTGCAGTATCCGTAGGCAGCGCAGCGTCGGCCCCATGGCTAATACAAAGCCAAGGCCATCATGCTGCCGAAAATTATGGCGTATTGAAAGACGTACCTTTGAACGCTTACGGCCGTCAAACTGCACAGTGAAAAATATTTCGGGCGTTTATTTCACCTGTGGAATTTTTAGATTGATGATAATAACGGATTGGTCTTAACAGCCCCACGAAGTGATTTTGGAATCTTATACTGAAGCTGAAAGACTTAAGACATAATTTCTATTTTCGTGTCGCTGTAAGTACCAATCTGTCCAGAGGACATCCTCAAAGTTGTAAAAAAAAGATTCGCCCAGTCTAATCTTTGAACTGTGCGAATTGAATTTCAAAAGAGGTTCAGAAACATTATTTTACGATGGTCGGTGCACGTACAGCACCCACCGCCTGTTATGACTCGCGGTGGCCACCGCCGTCCGTTCAGCTGATGAGGCTTTATGGCGCCGTCTACGTATCGCCCTGGTCGGAAGGGCGGGCGCCGCGGGGAATCGAACCTCGTACCTCTGGCTTCCCAGACGCACAGAGGTTAACGCAGGTGCGTAAACCTAACCTAAGTCTACCGACACCCGGCGCGCAGGTTAAAATATTTTGATGCTATTTGTTTAACCAGTCGATTCTGCAAAAGAAGGAACGTTTTCAGGCAAACATGATATGTCCTTGAGCGTTTCTTTTTTAAACTCATTTCGACACTGTTCAACATACTTATTATAATACCTCATACACCTTATTTCTGGGAAAGAGGCCCCTTGAGTACAACACTACGGGGCATATTATTGTTCCCGGTCAGGGGCCGAAGGGCCATTCTGTACCACCGCGGTGTGTCTTCAGGCTGTCATTCTGGCGACGCGGGGCGGATCCCCTTGCCGATCCATTAGAGGCCCTTAAAGGGATACATCATATCACATTGGTCCCCTCCCCGGCGTAAGGGCCTTGTGACCTGCGCAGTTGACCCTGGATCGATGCAGAATCCGTCACTTATGTCACAAGTCACTTATGTCACAAGTCACACAAGTCACAGAATCCGTCACTTACACACAATGTAACAATAACCCTGATCGCCGCAGATGGCCAAACATTTGACACAAAAACTCCAGCTCGGCTTAACGGGCCAATACGGGCATTGAATTGGAGTGACCACCGTTCGGTACCGGGGCCCTGAATGGCGCAGGACCGTTCCATTGTGTCAATGCGAGCACTCATCATAAGTTCTCATGTTTCCTTTCATTGTCAGAGGGCCCAAACCAACGCAAGAGGCCCTCTGCCATTCGGGCTACCGTCCCTGTCCTTGTTCAGAAAAGCTTCCCCTGACCAACCAAGGCCCCTCGCTGACACACAATACCTTGCTACGCACTGTGGGCCTCTGAATGATACAGGAGAACAGACCAGTGCAACTTGCGGGCTGGCCTTGTTCCTGCATGGGAAATTGGTCCAGGGCTCAAACCGAAACGGAGCCGACGGTTCGTTGTTGGTGATCTCTGGCCGAAATAGAGCAACACTTTGTCTCATGGGTCCCTATCGGTACAAGAGGTCCTCTTACTGACATTTGACATTACTGTCCTCTGGGCGATGTCCTCAATGTGACCTACAGCTAGCCCTTTGGACCCTTTTGCCTTCCAATCGGACACTTGATCTCCAGTCACAAGAGGCCCTCCGGCTCCCTCTTCTGGCCTCCTTAAACACCGCTCAGAGTGCGGTGTTTGGCCTTCATTTGCCGCCACCGGATCCCTGCTAGGCATTGTGACCCCTGACTTGGGAAATGGGTCTCAAGGGCTCAGGTCTTAGATGGGCATGGAGCTGACTGTTCGGTTTTCGTGGTCTTGCGCCGACGTACATACCTGCATTGCCTCAAGGGTTCTTCAAACGGTGCAAGAGGACCTCTAATGTCAGGTCGCGACCTTACGGGCCGTGATTCTAATGAACTGCAGCCAATCCTTCGGACCCTTATGCCCTCCAACCGGGCCTTTGGTCGTCCGTTCTGATGGGCCGACCGGACCCTTTTTTAGGCCTCATCGAGCACTTCCCTTGGTCGCCTCGGGGCCCTTGCGAGTACAGAACTCTCTGTTAGGTGCCGTAGGCCCCTGACAGATACAGCGCCCCCGACCACTGCAAATCCCTAACCCCGGCTTTATAGCTGATGGGGAAGTGGGCCCTCAGGCCCATACCGACGCGGAGCCGACTGTGCGGCACTGGTGTGGCCTGACCGACTTATAGGCCTATATCGACTCAGGGGTCCTCGATCAGCGCCAAGCGCCCTCCGACGGCTACTTGATCCGTCCCCGCAGGCCGGGGCCGCTGAATAAAACTCTGGCCAGTCCTTCGTGCTCTTAGACCCTCCAATCAAGCCCTTGATCGTCGGACCCTCTAGGCCCTTCGGGGCGCCTCGAACACTGCCTCTGGCAGACTGCAGGACCCTTGCTAACTCAGGGCCTCCGTTAGGCCCTGTCGGGCGTTGATAGGCGCTGCAGCTCCGAACAATGAAAATCGCTGGCTCTGACTCTGTTGCTACCTGGGAAATTAATCGTAGGCTCCGGGGACCCCTTTGGGCCCCAACAGCATCAATCGATCACAGCATCAACCGATCAGTCTGAAGCCAGTAATCTCGCGGCCTACACATTTCGGCGGATGCTATCAACGACAGGTACTGACGGCTGGTGATGTTCGCCTGTTCGTTGTGCAGACGTGTCTTTGTTGGGGACAGCATGACCGGCTGGGAGCCGTGAGCTAAGCTGTTCTCAGCTCACTGCGGTTAAATGTAAACTCGCAGGATCACGAGCTCCGCCCTTTTATGCTCCACTTCATGCACGCCTCACCAGAAGTGACGCCCCCATCTGACCAAGTCTCTCCTCGCTGAGGCAGCCCGGGGTGCCGGACGCCCTCGTTCAGCCGCCTTGCCAGGAGCGAAAATAGGCTGCTCGCCGCGCGTGGGACAGCAACAGCTCCCAGCCGGCCGGGAGAGCCCACACACACGCCGTCCGGAGAGGGGGCGGGGGGCGGGGCGTCCGCGCTATAGTCTCGCCTACGGAAAGACTAAAGCCGGCCAGGCTTGCTTCCCGAGCCGTGGCCGAGTCCGCGCCGCCTCACCGTCAGGGCAGAGGCAGAGGGGGTGTTCGCTCGCTGACCGCGCCGCCGCTGCCGCCGCCGCCGCACTCCGCTGCTACTGAGTTGAGGGACTCAACTGGCGGCCGGCCGCCACGGGCGCCGGCTGATCGACCGGCGCCCGGCCGTCGCCGGGCGGCGCCACGGCCACGACCCCTGGCCGTGACCGACGCCCGCAAAAAAACACGGCAAG